AAAAAAAAAAAATCAAGATGGTGGGTGAATCCTCAAGGAACTCCCTAAAGGGTCTATTTTGAACCTTGGTTGCATCGTGGATTTCTTACCTATTCCGTGTGTGTGTGTGTGTGTGTGTGTGTGTGTGTGTGTGTGTATGTCTTGCCTTCTCTACTGTCTTTTGTTTCCCTACTAACCCTCTTGTACCCCTCCATCTGTAACAAGGAGTGCACAGAAGTAGCTTTTAAAATTCCAGAGTGCTTTATTGTTAGGTGTGGTAGCAGAGTCTATAATCACAGCACCTGGGAGGCAGAGGCCAGCAAGCCTGAGGCCAGCCTGTGCTACACAATGTGTCTGAGGCCAGCCTGGGTTACAAAGTGAGACCCTGTCTAAAAAACAGGCACCAAGCAGCTAACTAGACTAATGTTGTGAGCTCAAGCACCGAGGTCCTGAGTGTAAATAATCTTAACTCAACGAGGTTCTACAGCGTCTTTTCTATAATAAAGGACTTTAAGTGTCCAGACCAAGGAAGAGACCTCTGCGCTTGGAGAGCAGGAGCTCAGAGCGAAGGCCTGTGTGGACCGTAGTCATTATTTTTCGCCTTGATTTTCTGGTGCAATTTCATTTATACGCCTTTGAGACATCCTTTATTCTCATTTGACTTGTTTATTGCATCTGAGCCTTTCATGGTAAATCAGCTTCCAAAACCAATGTTTTGATAAATAAGTACAGTAAATAGAAAGTGAGTGTAAAAGCCAGGTATGGCACATGCTTGGAACCCCAGCTCTAAGGCCAGAGTTCCAGGCCAGTGCAGGCTAGAGAGAGCAAGCAGGACAGTGAGGACAGCCTTGGAAACTTAAGATCCGAGCCAGCAGGACAGCCCAGCTGTAGGAGTGCTTGCCGCCTGGAGACCTGAGCTCAACCCTCGGGGCTGCTGGCTAGAAAGAAAGAACCAGTTCTCAGGAGATGAGCTCTGACCTGCACACACGGCCCAAGCACATGGCCCCCATGTACCGACACTGAACTGAAATCTGGCATTGAGACAGCCAGGAAAGTCCTCCAGCCCATCACCCCACGGCCTTAGCGTCTGCCCTCCATCCTAAAATACCCTTCTTTTGTACACCTCAATGCACTTATTTCTGTCCACTGCTTAGAAAAGAAACAAAGAACACTGACAGAGCACATTAAAGGCACCGTAGGAAATGGTTTTTTAAAGCTGGGGTTTGGGGTGTGGCTTAGAACACTTGCCATGCTAGGCAAAGCGCCCTAGCCCACAGCTGGAGAGAAGAATTACCAGGTAAGGGTGAGTTGCAAAGCACGCATCTTCCTGAAAACAAACAGGGGAGCTTGTGTGTGATATATTTGGGGCACTCAGAAGATCTGGACAATTTCAAAACAAGACTCAAAGTAAGTATACACATTCTGTATTTCAGATGCTAAAACACAAAGTGGAAACTATAACCCCAGCGTGGGATATGGCACTTGCTAATACATTACTGAGGGGGAAAAATCAATAGACATTTGTATTCACAGAACTAAAATGTGGAGCAGCTACCGGCGACTACTGCTGTCAGGCTCTCACGCTGACAGGGGGGTACAAACAAGGGTGCCTTTATTCCCGCCTTGGGAGGACTCAATACAGCACCTCTGATTTAAAATCAATTTTAATTTGCAGAATATGCTGCTTCTTGGAGCACCTCACTTTCATATGCTCTACCTTCCATTTTCAGTGTCTTGAGAAGTTTTAATTAAGGTAGCATTTTAACAAAAACTGCTGAAAATCTAGTAAACAGCATTTTCTGTAAAAGTGGGAGGAGGGAAATCTATACACAGTGATAGCCACTTTTTTCCCTCTGTGACAGAGTGAATCGGGTAATGACCTAGCCCCCCACCATTTCATCAGCCCACACGGCCAGTCCCACACACGTGGGGACGAGGGTTCCCAGGGTGATGGAAGCCTGCA